AGAGAGAGAGAGAGAGAATGTATATGCATTTATACACACATGAGCATGTGTATATACATATATGTTTCTATATTGTTTTCTTTTTTATTTCTTTGTATGTAAGGCCCTATTATACACAAAGAAGAGATGTTTTACAAAGAAAAATAATCTATGCTTCACAAACAAACTTAACCTTTTAATGGAAAAAATGTTGTGTTGTCTAGGAGTAATACACATGAGTCAACATGAGTGAAAGAGGAAGTGAAAGTACATGTCAACACAGCTTGTTATTACTCACTTCTCTACCCTTTCCCTGTGCCTCTGCCTCCTCCTGCCTTATGGCTACTGCATATGAATTAAAGTCAGTAGTCATTATTTTATACTGTCACAATATCAATGACGACTTTGGGTCATTTTGATATAGCAATACCACAAAACGCCACTTATGTGTAATGAACAAAAGTGTATTTTGAGCTAATGGAAATATAAATCAATAGGTCAAGTTACCCATACAGTTCCTTTCTAGTAACCTGCACACAAATACCTAAAGGGTTACATATTAACAAGCACAAATATAGTAGTATTCTGTAGTATATATTTTTACACATTGAAATTGCAAGTTTAGACTGTTATATGAGATGTTTCCTATTAGGTAGACTTTTTTTTATCTTGGCAAGGTAAGTATAACCCTGAAAATATGAGTTATTTAATTACAGATGGAACAGTAGTGTCTCACACTATGAATGTTATATCTGCACATGTATTTCTGAAAATGTATGTTTGCTACTAGTATAAGAAGTTGGTGTGCCCGGTTCCCCCCATTGCTCACCAACCTAAACACACACAGCTGCTCACTGACAGTCTGCTGCTGTAGCACTCCAGCGTCCATATGTCCTAGGATAACCCACAAACAAACATGTACTACACATCCATGTATTTCCTTATATAGGGGTGTCAAAACCTTATTGCTTTTTTCTCTAAATTTTATTGTGTCTATATTAGTACTCAAACTAGTATTGGTCTTTTTACGTTGTGCTTGTTCTAATACCAGTATTTAAAAAAGAAAAAAAAAAAAACTGGTGGGAGTACGAGTTTTTTCATTTGTGTACATGGAGGTGTTTGACACTTATGTCACATATATGAATAAATCAAGATATTAAATAAATGAAAATAAAATTACCATATATCATACTGTATTGATAACGCTACTGACTTGATAGAAAGTGGGCAGTGAAAAATGAAACGTTGAACTCAATCAGAAAACAGTGCGGTTGCTGACTGGTGCGCACCTCTTGTAGTGCAAAACCGTTACGAGGCATATGCTCGTAATTCAGTTGCTTGAGTAGAAGAGAAGATGACTGAAACCTTTGATGCTGTACCTGAAGGGCAATAAAAACACCTTTTTACCTTTGGAGAAGATGCAAGAGAGGAGAGAGGGAGGAGAAGAAAGACGCCTATCTTACATTGCTCTCCACAGAGGAACACCCATTAAGACTGTTACTTAGGTTGTGTCATTTAAAGCAAGAGGAAAAGGAAAACCATTCTGGAAAACATGGCATTTCAGGGCAATGGAGGGGATAGAGAAGAAAGAGTAACTCAGGGCCCCTGGAGATCCCCAGCTGCGTCAGAGAAGGTATCCCTGTCTGCGTCAGGAGTTCCACTCCATTGGCAACATAAAGACAGGAACAAGCAGAGAGGAGTGAGGGGTGCAAGCGACCCTCCTTCCATAGGCGGCAAGGGTATTTTGGAAGGAGTTGCCATGGTTTCCCTCCGGCCTGGGATTTGTAACGTGATAGCCGCCTGCCAAACCGCAATCTCAAAATGGGAGAAATTGTGCTTGCGTTTGCAACTCTTTTATGAAAGGTCTGTCTGTGTGTCTGCATGTGTTCGGAAACGGACTACACGATGCCAAAAAAAACAAAAAACGTTTTACCTTTAAAAGGTGTGCAAGCCAGCATGCAAATTATATGTGTATTTTCCTGCATTAGGGTCAAATAGGGGTCACACAAACAAATTTTGTCCTGGAAAGGTTGTAAACCTAATTTTAACATTATTCTTTTAACCTGTGCATTTGTCCTCAGACAAAGTAAATGTATCTGTGAAGAGTTAAAGTGTCCTCTCTATATGAAATAAAGATGCAGCTATGGTTTAAATTAAAATTCATTCACACAACCATCAAAAAATGTACATTCAAGATTTACCTCTGTCTCGCACCCACATGGGGCCTCTAGTTTGCCACAGGGGTGTGTGGGCTGGGTGCTTTACAACCCTGATCAGGTCCTCCCTGAGCAGTAGGCTGCCTTGCTAGTGATTACTAGCTACGTGTACCACACACACACACACACACACACAATACACACAAATGACTCATTACAGAGCAATGTTTCCCTTGTTTTTCATGTCATAAACCGTTCCCATGGCAATGGTAGTTGCTCAGAGGGCCTGTTGACTTGACCACTGGGGTCTTTGTGTGATTACAGGCAAAATGCAGAAAATCAAACTGAGAATAATGCTTTAAATATCCCTGCTGGCATCCATGGTTAGAAAATGGAGTTAAGGTTAAAGACTTCAGTAAGTTCTGCAGTGTTTTCACCTTGAACGTCAGCTGTCAGGTCTCTTGCTTGCTCAAATGCACAGATTCATGCACACTCAGAATCACTTTTTCATTGCCTTATTGTCTTAGCTTAGGGAAGTGTTGTCATTATTGTCTCTGGTGGATGAAAATGTTTATTTGCTTCCTTGTTTTTGTCATGTTTTTCTGCATTCATATGATGCATTCTTTGATCTACAGGGACATGAACAGATATGTGTTGAACTGTTGTTCAGATGGCACTTTCACATACTGAGATAATGGAGATAAGTGACATTGGTCTAAGTGGTTTATTGGTCTCTTAACATTACAACAGTTTGAGATATATAATCCAAATTAAGAAAATTGTATTTGCTGATAATCTCTATTGTTTACTTGATATATACTGTATATATATATATATAAATAAATATATAAACAAAAGTACAATAACATTTGCTCTGCAAACACTTAAGCACAAAGCATACACAAATAAAGTGCTTTTAGGGTGATGTGCTAGTGTCAGTGCTGCATTTAAGTGATACTTCAGAGTCAAAGTACTCCAGTGATATCCCTAGATAGCATTTCAGTTTTCTATATGGACAGAACTAGTACTATGTTTGTTTTATTTTCATTATATTCATATGGTTTGTAGATCCATATGTTATTGTTAAGAGACCTAAACTTAAAAATATTACATTAGATCTACAGTCAGTATTCACACGTTTTCTACTGCTGTGTTCCTTAGGCTCCAACAAGAAGAGGAACCACCTAAACCAGAAGGTTAAGCAACCTGACTACAAAGTAGCCTACATCCAGCTGGTAAGAAGAAACAGAGATCTACATGATCCTGCACACAGCTCTTCACATCAACACCCACATTTACATACAGTACACACACAATTAATAAATCTCTATTTTTATTGACAAAAGCAAGTGGATTCACTCAAATTGTCAGCAAAAATATGGTTACAAACTAATTAAATGACTTATTATGAAACTAAATAAATCCCACACATTTTTGTGAGTCATGCATAAACCCAATATACCTGACAAATATTGATGGGTGATATTTTCTTTGTTTGCGTTTACCCATGTCTACTTGTATTGTGGCACCCAATTTCTTTAGTTTTTCACATCTCTGCACAGTTTTATATTAACTCAGTCTCCCTCTATTAGGAAAACGTAAAAGTAATTCACTGTCCTGACATAACCTCCTTGAGATTTGTCGCTACCAAGATCCTGTCTTATGTTTTCCCTCTAATCAATAAATAATCAATAAAGTTTTTAAAAAGCCTCAAAACTTCCAGATTACTAATGACTATGGTGGGCTTTATTCCTGCACCAGGCCCTTGGTTAATACCCATGTCTGTGTCTTTATCACAATTTTCCTATTGTATGATGTATCGCATATGCAGTACAGTGTCTTGTACTAAATATGTGATATGTCATTTTCATACAGATGTCCCAGACTCTTTGTACAGCTAAATGGTAAATGGTTTGTACACCTAAAGTCCAGATAGCCACACAAAGCACTTAACACTTCAGGTTTTGCTTGGTTCATCTGCTTAATTACAGCAAGGTTTCCATTGTGGCAACCAAGTCTGGAATAGATCCTACAGCCTTCTGGGTATAAGACAACAGCATTGCCATTTGCACTAGCTGCACTCACCTGGCAAACAAGATCCCCGGTGTGGAATGAAGGCTTTTTGTATACAAAATACATGAAGCTCAGAAGAAGCTAGATTCTGTCCAGGAGAACTTTTGCTCCTGCTCTGCTGCCACTGCTTTGTTTTGACCATTAGGCAACTTTGGTCAGGACAAAGTGAAATTCTTCTTCCTCAACTTGAACTTGTCATTAGAGAATAGACTCATCATCTTAACTAAAGATTTTCCTGAAGATAGACACATTACAGACCCATCGCTGTCCAAGCCGGATCACCTCCCACCCGGCCGGTACATCTCTGGGTCTGCCATCCGACCACCCTCCGAACTGACTGGTGCATCTCCAGTCCAACTGGGAGAACTCCAGTCTGCATTTATGTGGCAAACCACAGACTTGTCTAAAAACTTGCGCGTTCTTCGTAAACCACGTATTGTACTACAAACCCTGTCTTTAAACAACATATTTTCACACCTTCTAACTAAGTGTGATGGTCCATAACCCGGTATCTATTCCAAACATTCGTGGGTGAAAGTTCGTCCTTGGTGACATGCCAGATTTCTCAAAGGAAATATCAGCCTTTTGTCATCACCTAGCACAACTCCGTTCCCTGTTTGTGCACATTATGCCATAGATGAAATGCAAAGAGCCATGTTTTGTTAGAGTTGAAAATAAAACAAACCTCAGCTTAAATGTCATAAAGTCACTCTCTTCGGTTGACGTTTGATCCAGATGTGGAAAGCAAAGATTCTTTGTGTGATCTTCCTCAGATAACTCATCAGCCATGCAGTTCCTTGTTTACACTGTGCTGTCCACTTGACAGAGAGCCATTAATCTTAAATGGATGAGTAAAGAAATTGTCTAAACATGACAATTTCAGAAAGGATACAAAACTGGTGCAACCAAACGGCAAGACTTCCTGTCTTTCAACCCAACAGAAGTGGTTTATTGTAAATATCTAGCAGTGTTGGAAGTCGATCACTCGATGAGTGATGATAATCTTGAATGATGGGGAAGTGCACACATTGATGCACACATCATTGACAGTGCTATCATTTATGAATTAGGAGCCCTTAAGTACTAATCTTTATTTCCTGTCATTTTATCATTTATTCTGAAGTTGCAATCACATTGTGGTTTAGTGAGCTCATGCTCATTTGCGAGTAAACAGCGGGCAAAAATCTTCAGATCCAGGCTTTTTGTGCTGAACATTACGTATTGAAGCAGTGAATATCCGGCCTATTTTTCTTGCAGGTTTTTGAGAAAACATGCACTCTCTGCTCCCTTTTCTACCTTACTCCTTCTCTTGTGTACACACACATCCCCCCCCCCTCTCTCTCTCTCTCTCACACACACACACACACACATTCACAACCCCAGAAAACCCTCCTTTCTTTTTCAGTGGTGAGTAGAAAACAAGATTGTTCCTAATTGACTCCACATGTGGGAGAGTGTTCTGTGGGTCGATGCTCACACCATGGCCCCCCTGTTCTACCCTCATCCTTTCCTCTCCCCCTTCTTCCTCCATCAGCTAATATTGCAGCAGTAATATGTTTGCTCTTGCTCATTCCTCACTCTTGGTTTGTGGTTGAGGGGAGGCCTCCCGTTAGCGGGGTTCCGTGACGGCCATTTTCCTCAGGCTTATAGGGGACCCCAGTATCAGGGGATGAGAATGCGTCTGCATTTGTGCAGTGCACACTGTGTGTGGGAAAGTGAGAATGTCTACGTGACGGGCTGTGCGGGGTGAACTGAGGAGGCATGCAGTCTTGCCGGTGCAAGGAGGTCGACAGACTGGGCAAAATGATTGTGTGTGTGTGTGTGAGACAGAAGGAGAAAAAACAAAGTAAGAAAGAGAAAAAGTATCTTATCAGACTGCCTTTATATCTGGCTACGTTTCAACATGTGTTTAGAGTAGGGCCAGTTCCACACAGCGTTAGGTCTGCCATAAGACCAGCTTTAGCTGCTGCGCTTGGCTTAACATTTGTATTAGATTTTTGAAGTCCAGCCATACTGTTCCATCTATAGGATATTATAAAAAGCTGATGCTGGAAAATACGATCCTGCCAAGGACTTTTTGACCTCTTGTAGACATTACTTCATGAGCAGTGGGTGTAATTACATTTCTGGTCTGGTTCACTGTACCTTTGTAAGGAATATAATTTTTTTGATGTATTGGAAAACATTTTGATACAGATTTAAAATTAAATTTATTTTATTAACAACATCTTTGCAGCAAACCTACTTTCAAAGTTGATTAAACTCAGGAGACGTCTGGTAGCAAAATAAGACTTTGTAGTTGCCCATATTCATTATACATGTCAGACCGTGCAGTTGTCCTTACTAAATATTCTCATATGTCATCGGAGATTGAGAACATGTGTTAAATTAAGATTTTGGCTTTACAGACATTAGAACAACCACAGTATTCCCAAAATAAGGGTAGATTAGACATTTCATATATTGAAAAAGAGGAATCACACAAAAGCAATACCCTCAGTCATTTTAAATTGGCAACGAAAAGGAAATATTATGAGTTCAGCTGCTCCTGGCCTGTATTTTATAATTGTTAACCAGTTAAATTGTTGCATTCAAAAACTCAGCTTTCACTAACCACCTCTCCTCATCCAAAACTCTGGTTAAAAAAGGACTTGGTCATCAAGGTCACTACGATTAATCAAGGTTACAGTTACACAGAAATGCAGATGATAAAAGTAGAAGACCAACAGTTTTATTTATGGAAAAGTTCAGTCACTTATAGCATTTTTTTTGCTGAAAATGACCAGAATTTTTGGCCTATGGTGAGATTACTGTAGTAGCTGCCACAGATTAGTGACCACTGTACTGATGGTACGTCAGTCGTACTGATGGTACGTCAGTCGTCCTCCCATGTCTGCTTTTTAATGTATGTTTTTCCAATTAGTTTTCCTTCCAGTTGTTTGTTTTTATAATCGTGTGTGGCATCAAAAGACCCAGTTTAGTGTAGACTGAAAAAGAGCTTCTAGAAAGACATATATTTAGTCGGCTCTTTGAGTCTGAGAGTATTTTACCGTTGCCTGTGAATTATGTTATTGTAAAACTGGGACTGACTGTGTAACTGAAGGAATGTCAGACACTGACTTGAGTTGTTTTCAGGAGAGCTCAGCAGGGAGGAGCAGCCACTTGGTGTCTCTGTGCTGGGCGCTGCATGGCACGTCGAGGCACCTGTGGGGTATTTGAAACTTGTTTGACCGTTTGTATACATGTGATCAAATCAGGCAGAGATAAGAAGTCCATGTGCATCAACAGTATGGTCTAAAGCGTGTAACTCAGCTCAGTGGGTTTACAATTTAGAAGCTAAAGGATGACTTTGGATGAAAGATCATCTTCTCCTGTCAAAGCAGATTCTACACAATGCTCAAAGCAGTGGAGTACACAGATGTTCACAGGTGCCTTCCTCATATTGAACATTATTGTCTTGAGCTGGGCAAATACTTTACTTTGCTTTCACAGAGTGGACCCCTGTTCACACAGGCATTAGGGCTGTAATGATACTGTATTTATGATACTGTATTTATACTGTATTATTACAAGATGTTCATTAAAAATGTGCAAAATAATTTTCGTTACCAGTATATACTAAAAAGTGTTGTGGGTAACTATGGCAATTCAGTGCATTCACAGAACTGTGACTGGATTATGCACTGACATGTGCTTGTGGCACATGTCATTAGCCTTGTATGGCCAAGTTAGCCCTTTTTCAGATCTGCTTTTTGAGAACACAATGTATTTCTGTAAACTGCTAAACTAGCAGTAGAGAAAGGCAACTCAATGGAGAAAAGAACGCTTATTTTCATTGTTTAGTCTAAATTGGCTGAGCTGATGGTAATACGTCAAACACGATAACACACTTAAAACAGCATCATCCAAATGTTGACATGACGGGTACTAGAAAAACCCCAAGTGCAAAAGCAAAGCTGAGGGAAGTAGGGTCAGAATAGAAGTATAAGATACATGATGTATGCTGCATCTAAGATATTTATATATATTTTTTATTTTTGTATTTTATATTAGTTTAAAATCCTCAATATTTGTCATTGTGCCATTTGCAAATAGAGATTTTCACCTAAACACTGGCTGGGCTCACTGATGTGAAGTGGCATACATGGAGAAGTAGTGACAC